TAAAAGAAAAACAACACTAGTGATAATTGTAAGTCGATTTGCCGACCGATTTTGTTAATAGTTTCATTAATTTTATCAATCATATTACGTGATTGTCAAGTCATGACAATGCTTTATGACGATATCCTGAAACTATTACGTTTAGCTAGTTATAGTGTTGATGGAGGATTAGTCAGTAGAAAAATAGGTATTGTTGCTTTAGGTGATTCGAAATTATCAGAAATTTATAACGTTGAAGAATCCGAGACGCCTAATTTAATTATCAATTTTAATTCAGAAAGATTCGTTTAGTGTTAATTCTAGTAGGCTACGGAGTCTTGATTTTAAACGTTTGTTTAGCCAACAGCTACCTGGGGATTTAGTTATTTGACTAGTGCAGTTGATAGTACCTAAATTTTTAATCTTATTATCTAAACTATGTTCGCATTTTAGGCTGCTAATATGATAAACCAATCCATAAACCCAAATACGATTAGCAACAACGACTATGATGGGTTTATTGATAAATGTTAAAGGCGACTCAGATTATCTCTAAATTTAGAAGACATGAAGATATAGTGTAACGTATGTGTGGGCCAGGTTAACAAGCAGGTTGTTGACGTATATTACAATTTAAAAATCATGAACATGACCAGATAAATAATTTTAAAGTTAAGACTGCTTGTGAAACTTCAGGCAGGAATATGATGCGTTATAAACCTTCCATAAGAAGTTACTGCATTTAGCTTAGTGACACTTACAAATATATGGCAAAAGCAACTGAAAAACATATACATCTTAAGTACAAAAAAAATCATCCAGTAAAATAGTTGAACTCGCCTTGATTATTTTTGAAAATTAGATTATTCAGTGGACGACATATATAACGCCATTCGTGAGGAGTAGTAATGATCCAAAAGCATCCAGAATAAAACATGCAGTATGGCAATAAATTCCAGGGTGCTTGATGCTGTTGAGGTTTTTGGGACTCGCTCTGATCAGAACAACTGAATGAATCCAGATAATTGTGTGTGCCATTGAATGAGCCATCTAAAATGAACTTATGATTGCAGAAAACTTATAGCTGGAACTCACCGTATGTTTTTGGAGAAGCGTCATCTTTGTTGTTTGGCGATGGAACTGGGAAATATGAAATTAGGCAGGCAGTGGTCGGAAGAAAAGATATTACAGGATAGTGCATCGTTTAAAACAGGATGAAGTGTTAAGCGAAGGAACATTAAGAATTAGATCCAGATAACTATTCAATCCTTGATTGCATTGTTAGTCAATGTATATTTACGCTATTTACAGGTCATATTTGCTGGAGCTTGATGTTTAAACAAGTCTATGTCGCTGAAGCATGTAAATGCTATTACAGCTTGTTAGCAAACCATCAAAGCTAATTAGTTAATATAGACGACCAGTTTTTATTATCCATTGAGCTAGTTTGTCATGAGAACTAATCAATATAACATTACGATAATGCATGTGAGCATTAATCAGAGGACTATTAGAATACAGGGTTAACATAAATATAAAATCGATCGAGAAAGTTGAAGTGGAAATAAGGATTAATAATAATAGGTTGCGTTTCTTTAGTTGGGCTCACCAATGTAGAACTATAGTCTACTATGATATTAGTACTGCTCTAATAATAGACCTAATCCTAAATTTGTAGATTCGTCATGATATAACTGCCTAATCTATAAGATCTTACGTGGAAGTCACACCATCGACTACACCAACTCACTGTATCGTATCAATTACCAATACATGATGTAGAACAAGGTTAGGCTAGAGAAAGAACAATATATTTAATATGAATAGAAGATATAAAGTAACATTGAGATGGACCACGCCTGCATGGACGAGCCATGCCATCCGATCAAACCCAGTCCATTCAATTCATTCTCCGCGCCTTCTTCATTGTTAGGTATTTCCCCAAGTTAAATATTGAATATCTATTTTCTGAGTAGTCTCGTGTTCACAGCTTTGTGGATTGTGTGGCTATCGTCCAATGCCACTACAGATTAACTCTGGAGATGTAATCTCTCAAAAACCTTGACTGTGCACTCTGTGAACGAACGTAGTCACGAAAGAACTTATAAGAGGATCAACATCGAACTTGGTCGCTTCCGTGGAAGCATGTACTAAAACACGCATGACTTTCAAATTATTGGTTTTATGTTTACTTCTCGTTTATATAATATTGAAAGGCTTTAAGGTGGTTGTTGTAGGTTTGTTGCCATGAGGGTGATTTCGTGGAGAGTGAGTGCCTTATTTCAATTAGGAAAACCATGCAAAACTCAATATCGGATAAAAGGGACATAGTGCCAACAAAAAATAAGGAAGTAGATAAATATCTTAACTATAATGTTTCGATCCTAATAGGAGATTCTCAGCTTAATTTCATTCACTTAAATTGGGCTGCTACAAACTCACGTCTCACACGGTAGTTATGCTAGTTTTGACAAGGTTTTCAATGTACAAGGAGTAGGTATAACGTTATACACCGAAAGGAGCTTACGATTGCAATCAAGTATGTCGAGGGCAAGCGACAGTGCGACAACAAAATCTATTAGTAATTGTGGTTATGACTTGACAATAATTTTGATAACACGTCGTCGTCCAAGTTATACTGAGGTTAAATCCTCTAGGTCAGATGTACACGTGGATTAATGCAGTTAATTATCTGATTGTAGGGGATCGAAACGTGTCAAACATCAAGATAATAGGACCCGAAATTTAAGTCGTTGTTATCACTATTATCCGGAATTAAGCTTACTCTATTTTACAGTGCATTATGAAATCAACTATTGGATTTGATCCTTACTTATATTCATAACTGAGTTTCAATTCTCACACTCGTTAACAACTAGAGATCAAATCTTTTGTACTGTAACTCACCAAATTACGTGATCTGAGTCGATGATCTGTGGCTTACTCCAGTTGGTCAGGAATAACATGATCATCCCTAGCTCACTTTGAAATCACACCTCGAGGTTAGCACCAAACGTGAATTACTTTTCGTCATGTCCAGGTACCATGGCTACTTTGATGACTGTATAATTAAAACGTAACGTTACTATAGAAATGTGTTTTTAAGAATAGGTACAAGAAGAGCGTGTGACCACCGCTGCATGGGCAAGTTCATAGCGTGCAACTGAATGATGAACGTTGGTTTTACCTGGCCTTAACGAGAATCAGTAAACTATTCGACATTTAGAAACCTGAATATAAAATGATTTGGCTAGGGCCCAGTGACATTCCACTCACCCTAGAGTATTCTTACCAGTACTAAAATATGCGTGACTTTGTGTTGATCGTCCCTGGTCTAAGAATATAAGTTATACAGCTTGGGATAGTTGTCTGTTTTTAGGTGTAAAATCCATGGATTTTAGCAAATCATTCGATAAGGTATTTCATGTAACACGTAAAAACAAGCCTTCGAATTTTGAAATCAGAAGCATAACACACTGTTGCATCGATAGAGTTTGTGCAGTATAAGGAAGAGAATCAGAATAAAAGGGCTTAATTCGTAATAAAAATATACCATAATAGCACACCATAAGATGTTGACTTAGATCATACACAGTTCGTACTCAACTTAAACGCAATTAAAAATGTCTGTAGATTGTTACCATTCTTTTTACATGAAAGCGATGTATGTGTTTGGGGTAAAATATCCGGTGAAATTGAAAGGCTGGACTCCAGGCGGAATTCGGAAAAGTCTATTGAATAGTTCAAAATTTGATGTCCAGAAAAGACTCCTCCCACCAAAAACATACTATTACGAGCCAGGAATAGCAATAATAAAGAGTTCTTTATCAACAGTACACCACTGTCAAAAGTTATGTGACAAAAATTCATGATATGGAAACAACTGCGTGTCATAAAGTAAAAGTTGCCAAAGAGTCGCATTTCTACGGTCACTTACCAAAGCTTTTGAATTTTCTGACTGATAAACGTTTCAAAGTTTCATAAGCTACCAATATCACATCTAAGGAGCTAGCTTATGTTTAAGTGAATTATAGATCATCAATGTAGATTATCTATGACGAATGACTGGGGGCCTACTAGTGTTAGACGGGAATGGTGTGGCGAACCAGCTTCAGTTGAAGTCACAAATCGCGATCAGCACCTTACGTCGACTACCCCATCGACGTATTAAGGTGCTACAGATGTTTTGAAGGCTGTACAACACAAAGGACATTATTACAGAAATATATTATTTTAGGTAGATATAAGCGAAGGTAAGACCACTGCCGTATGGGTCAGTCCATGGCATACGATTAACTGATGCGTGTTGGTCGCCCTTGACACTGACAGGGATCGATGATCGGTTTGATATTCATTTACCCAACTGCTAGATTATTTACCTAGGGCCTAGTGACATTTCACTGGCCCTACAGGATTTTCAGGTCATGCCAAGATGGTCCAAAAACAGACACTAGGTTGCTAGCAGGAATTTATAATTTTTTACATGGGATGACTATTTTTATTTTACTTGTCGTATTATAGGAGGCCATCTTATGTTAGCCTACCACACATTGGATAACAATCGGAAAGTCAATACTGTAGCGGGTAAAACTATCCACTTACAGGTCCTATTCCATGATAGTCTTAATCTGAGGTTTGCGTTATTTCTAATTCTTGTTGATTGCTTTGGATGTTAAGTGTAGGTGTATTGTATGCGCTTACTGAGTCGTCGACTGACCACTTTTTATTCTTCTTTGTTTAAGTTCTCCTCACTCATACACTCTGCATCTCCCAGTAGTACACAAACTTCCTTCTGGTTAGAGGCGAACCATAACAAGTTACATAATATTTTTCTTATCATCAGAACTAAGGCCTTTTGAAACTGTTTCTGAAACGTCTAAAAACTGTTTCTTAATAAGATTATATTTATATTCCGTATTTTCCATTCAGTGGTCAACATCTGGGTCGCTCGTCACCATAAACAGATATCAGCCTCAACGATTATTGCTTTTAACGGAACAGTAGATTTTCAAGGGTGAAAATGCTTAGAAGATTAGTAGACACTAACTGACCTACTATTACTTAAAACTGAGAGGAAATAAATTGGGCATTGGAAGTGGCCTTTTCAAGTCGATTGTTACGTCCGTAGATTTAGTAGGTCATTACTAAGAATTGCACTATCTGTCACTGATTATTAATTTGCCTTCTTCTACCATCTGCCAGCAATGGATAGAGAAAATGAAACTAAATGATGGTCAAATGTGAGAAACAGCTATTTGCTTTAGAACAATAATGTTCATTGTTGTGTACTCTGTTAATTTATTCACCACCGTATCCAGAAGACTGACGCATTACAAATAAAAAAATGTTAGATTAGTTTGGTAATATTATGAACATGTTGCGTAAATCCTATTTTGTCTTTAAAGGTTGTAGTTAAATAAGGAAATCGGACGATTTGCATTTAAAAAGGTTAGCCAGGTAGAAAAAGAAGTAAAAAACAGTTAAAAGTACTACATAATTAGATGAACCTCATCGAAGTCTTGTCATTAAGCTTTGTTGATGAAGCACATGTATACAGTAAGAGTCGGCGTAAACGTTTGAAATGACATGGTCTACAAAATTTTATGTAAAAATATTTTGCATGGAATGGATATCTTATAATGATATTATTTAGTATTTAGGAAGCCAGCCAATTAGTGAAAATACACCGGAATTAGTGATTTGTGCGTAAACGTACGAAGTAACTTATGCCTGAATTTTCTTTTGTTTCTGTCCCATGCTTGTTTACTTAACTTCTTGCACTACAAGATGACCTGGCTCTCATGGTCATTTGATGAATCGATTTGATATCTTACTCAGACAAAGAGTCACCTTGAAATCTGGAACACATCACATCTAACCAATATTGTTTGATATAATTCTAACCTACTTCAAATCATTTTGCAAAATCTGTGATTGCCAATACTCAGCTCGCTTTTTGTTCCATCTAGAGTTAAAATTATTTCAAGTTAGTCTGTCATTATGTAAGCCGAAATTAACTTTGCTGACTCACGAAGATCATTCTCAATGATCCGTGATATTCTTGTATCCTTAATCATACTTAACAACTGTTGCAACCTACAAATTGATCACGGAATTTTTGATCTCTCAATACAGCTTCCAATGTACCTGGTTCTACAGGCGTCTGAGATGGAAACTGTGAAGGCCGGGAATCCACGTTTTATATACTTTCCCCTTGACTTTAATGAATGAGATTTCAACGTAAGCCGTCAAATTATTTTTCTGATTAGATAAATCTGCAATGCCTGGTATTGTTTTGTCAACGTTTTGTTTCAAGGCCTGAAACCTCCGATCATTAAAACGATATAACTTGCTTGTGATGACAAAACTTCAGTTTTCGAAAACCTGATATATATGAATCTATTAAATGAATAGATTGCGATTGTGATAAGATGCCCAAAGATTAAGCCTAATATTCATGTCTTAATTGGTTGGGTAGTGAGTAACCTACACCTTAAATATTTGGCCGTGTTTATTTTGTATTCATATTCTGTATCTAAGCACCTTAAGGCGGCATTCGACTCTGTTGATCGTGAGGTTCTATGGCAGTGTTTGTCGCTGAAAGGAGTACCAAAGAAGTACATTAACCTTATAAAGGCTCTCTACTCGAACACAACTGGTAGAGTGAGAGCTTATGGCGAACTGTCATCAGAATTGATTACCTCAAGTGGTGTTCGTCAGGGCTGTCCACTCTCCTCATTCTTGTTCAACTTTGTGGTCGACGTACTTTTAGAGATAACACTCTCCTCATCTAAATTTCCAGGGGTTGAACTTCTACCAGGAGATTCACTTGTTGAATTGGAATATGCAGATGACATAGTTTTATTTGGTGAAGACGCTGGCAAAATGCAGAGTCTTCTGACCACTCTAAGCAACAATGCAAGCATGTTCGGGATGCGATTCTCCTGCTCGAAATGCAAAATGTTGCTTCAGGATTGGGTTACATCGACACCCGAACTAGTGATAGGGAGTGAAGTAGTTGAGTGTGTCGACCACTTCACTTATCTTGGAAGTCTCATCAGCCCTTGTGGTCTGGTGTGTGACGAAATCTCAGCACGGATACAGAAGGCTCGACTAGCTTTTGCCAACATGCGCCATTTATGGCGTAGGCGAAATATCCGTCTATCAACCAAAGGACGTGTTTACTGCGCAGCAGTGAAACATGGCCGGTAAGAGTAGAGGATATCCGTAGGCTACTAGTATTTGATCATAGGTGTCTTCGAAATATTGCTCGTATATCCTGGGACCATCGAGTAAGTAACACAGTTGTTAGGAAACGGGTACTAGGTAAGGATGGCAAATCAATTGATCAAGTAGTGAAACTTCATCAGTTGAGATGGCTGGGACACGTGTTACGTATACCCAACGACCGACTGCCTCGACGTGCTATGTTCAGTGGTATAGGAGTAGGTTGGAAGAAAGCTAGGGGCGGCCAAACCAAAACATGGCACAAGTCCATGAAGTCACTGACAAGTGGACTGAGTCATGTTGGTAGGTGTAGACTACCTGGTTGGGGACCGCGAGACGATAGCAACCGATGGTTAGAGACCCTGAATGACATGGCTCAAAATCGTTTGCAATGGCGCAGGTGCATCCACTATTTGTGTTCTCCCAAAGTCTAATCTTCTGAATTCTTCATGTCCCTTTTTTTCCTCTTTCCAAGTTTATTTCACTGGATTATACTCTTTAAATAACATCTCCAAACCCTAGTCTTCCCGATTACTGCTTATACTCTTATTACGTCTACCACTATGGGATTTGAATCGACAACTGCATCTCTGTGCTAATGTGGTGTGACAACTCGAACTGATGTACGTACGTACGAAGTTCTACGTTGTTACTGACTGACATCATTTTATATCACGAAAATCTAATCTGGCTAAGGGTCTTTTATTTTTAATCATTCGGAGGCCTTAGTCATTAACAGGATCTCATGAGTAGCCACCACTAGGCCACATCATATCATTGTATTCATCTATCAATCAAAATTTCATTCGTCAATCTTAACAGTCTTAAATTTCGTCCCATTAAATCACCAAACACTTGCTTAATAGATCTATGTAAAACCCCTTCAAAATGTTAATTTATGAGAAATCTACAAAAGTACATCGGACCTTCAACTCCTCGGAAGTGTACACATCAACATTGTGCTTCTTTTTGCTTCTCTGTCAAACGTTTTGTTGTATGCTATCATCATTTTACCTTATAAAGTTTATTGAAAGATACGATAGCATAACATCTTTGGCATTTTACCCGAGGATAGTATTAAATCCGGCACTTGAACCCACAGCTGACTGGAAGTTATATGAAAGGATATTTTATTTTATCACAACTAACCACAACAGTTTAAAACCTTGGGTTTTTTCAAAAAGCAGTCAGCATCGGGATTAATCCGACCCGTGATTTCTCCTGACGTCACATCCTCCTTGTATATAAATAATTTTTCGTTTAACAGTTAGTCGCTTTGGTATTCGAGCACATCTTTCCTGTCGATGTCGTTGATAATAACATGGAGTTTCGATTGATGCTGAAGGAAAATGTAATTGTGTTATAAAACTTAAAACCATTACATATGATAACTGGATAAATTCGTTGATAACTCTAACTTGTAAAATGTGCTGCCATGATCTAAAAGTTTGAACCAATATGCAGACTTATTAAACTTAGAACTATTTCTAGCGGGAAACTTCTTGATAAGTGATATCATTGAATGAGCATAGACGTACGTTAGAATGGGATGATAACCTCGTAGTATTACGTTGGCATTAAAATATACTTACGGTGTATGTCCGTCGTAGAAATCCACATATGTGGCTAACTATTGAATATCTGAAAATACGTATACTTATGGTGATAGAAAACCAGGTTTCAATGCGATTCTGACGGATGTTGTAAGTGAGTTACAAGCGATGCTGAAGGTAGGCCTAAGTGTCTCAAAGTTTTAGATAAATCTTGGTGCTAATTTGACTACTATAGTTTGTAACACCCTCTTGTTCAAGTATTAAGTATGCCGTTGAACATAATTTAATAGCAGGTTGTGAATAGTGTTTAGTTTTAAACGAACTTTGCTCCATCTACTTCTGTTTAGTATCATTAGCCTTTACTTAGATTGCCTCATAACCCCCAAGTATCTGGTGAGTGAGCTAACCTAAAAAGGTTGTCTTAGGCTCTCACCTCAGTACGGGCATAACCTTTGGAAATAGGAACTTACTAGTCATCAGAAATTTCAAGGAAAACTCCCAGACTAGTAGAAATGGCGTGTCTTTTGTTGCATTGCCCAAATTTTCTAATATGACTCATGCAAAGTTTCCATAAAACTGGTCTAATCTTTCTCAAAGTTGGGATAGTGAGACTTTTTCTTCAAACGTCTACCTCTAGGGGAAGTGTCAAACAATTTACATCTCTGTGTACTTCGAGTAGTCTACTTTTCGCTTGAAGTTTGATCTCATTATTTCCCTTTCTCTTAGATTTAGGCCAAATAGTTCAATTTTCCTCTCCCTCAGAAACCAACTTTTCTTTGCAGTTAAAATAAGTTAGAAGAATGGTGTATGTGTGAAAATCCATTTATTTAAACAAATTTTAATAAGTTTACAAAAATACTAAAAACGGTAAGGTATTAGTGACATTCCTATTTTGCAACTGAAAATTATAGTTATTCTCGAATGCAATCTAAAACAAAGTAACAATTAGCAGTGTAGAGGTGGACTATTTGACGTAAATAGTGACTAGAAATGTCTCATATTTTAAACGGATCACCAACTCATGCATACTTTTACCATTTATTCCTCATTTGTTTGGATGCAGCACATCCAACTGAATATGTATAAGTATGTTTAAAAAGCATTTTACTTAGAAAATTTTAGATAATAGTTAAGAAACTTCAAAAACATAAACGTATAAATCAGATATTGTCATTAAGGAGCATAATTTTCATCAGTGGAATTCTGAAGTGAAATAATAACTGTTGGTTATTGGAAGAGAAAGGAATGTCTTTAAAATCTGGACCACAAAGATATGACACCATGTATTGAGACTTACAGTAACCTTCAACAAAATTGGTGCGTGTATCCAGGAAACGGGGATAAAAAGTCAGTGCAAACTGTTACCTTCATTTTTTTCCTATATCATGAAAGTAATGCAGGTTTACCATGTCGAAAACTGTCGCAAGACCTTTATCACTGACACAGTGGTAAAAATCCTGATGTTTATCTGCCTAGTGAATAAAGAACCAGTCTTATTTCTTATGTTGTTGTAAAACCTATACCTATGATGTCCCCGTTTGGTAATAGTCCTAAACAAAGTAAACTTGCAAGTTCTGTCTTCATGCTGTAGGCGAAAATACTTCGAATGAATGTTTTCTGGGGATTATTTGTGCGTAGGTTAACGATTTCCCGCTTATGTGTTAAAGAATTCTTAAAAATCTTTAGTTGACAAATTTATTATTCTAGTCATCTTATCGAAGGTACATGTCCGACTCTCTCAGCTCCTCTTCCGTTGAGAGGGAATCGCTAATCCAATAATTCTGCATCCATCTTGTTGAACATGCTACCAAAGCGTGACCGCCTAAAGTGAAATTAGTCTGCATTAGGTAATTGTTTAGTATTCATGTTCGTGAATGTTTTATTTACAGTGGTAATCTAATTAAATACACGTTTTATCTTTGCTTTCAGAAATCTAGGTTTCGAATGAATCATAACCAGTTCAAATTTGACTTTCCAATAGAACAAGTTTTGGAAGAATGGAAGACACTAGATGAAAATGAAGACATACCGGCTGAAGATCAAGAGAACGATAGCGATGAATCGAATATTGTTAGTCAAGAATCCTTTTTTGCTCCTCACTATAAAGATGGTATTGAATATTTTTCCATAAAAAACCCTGAAAAAGTAAAGCAAGAGTGGCTTGAAGCTAGAAAATTAATTATACCACATATTCAGAACGTTGTAAAGCATCTAGTTCGAGAAAAATTTCAAAAATGATTGAATATATGAGAAATTATTCTTTCCCTGCATTTTAATTTTACTATTCACTGTTAATTATGTCATTTGAGTGGGTTTTGAATATAGATACATAAGAAGAACCTTCTGGATACATTTTTGCTCAGGATCACTTAGTAGTGCTTCATGATTTGATTCTTGACATGTCCCATTCTATATTCATTTCATGTTAGCTGTAGATTTTGTGCTTATCATTGCCACCTATATTATAGTCATGTGTTTATTTCACCTTATAACTCGTTTATATCCCGTTTAAACAGTCTTTAGTCGTCAAATAGTTTTTTTCAGTCTTGGTGGTTAACTGACTCGCTTTCTAATCAGTTGGTTGTTTATTTGGATTTTTCTTGAACTACTTTGGCTTGATTGACTTGGTTGTCTCATTAAATTTCACACAAAGTGTGCCTTTAAGAACAGTATAAGAACTGGCACCTAGTTTGCTTTTCAGAGGTTGTTACTGAATGTGAAATCAGACGCGGTTGTTGTGAGATCACTCATGCTTTTTCAGATCACTGTCTTCAATTTTTGACACTTAAACAGACTAAACAACAGATAAATGTTATTGAAACATTAGAACGTTTCATTTTGATGTTATTTGTGCTTCAAGAAATTGTGTTCGATACTCCGACAAAGTAATTTTTAAGTTCCTTACTGTTATGTTTAACCATTATAAGGTCAGGTTTCTTAAAATCTTGGAACGCCGACTTTAGCAGTTTGGATGCGACCTACATATCAACTCAAAAGCTAAGGAAATAGGCTGTCAATCCCTTGCACAGCCAAGTGGAATAAATGGTATTTCCGTTGAATTAAGACATAAAGGCACATTGTCTCTCCCTTGAACTTGGTCCTACAGGCTGTGCAACTCAATTTGCGATGTTATCAGACATATCTCAAAACAATAGCTAACATAGATACTGTTGTATTTCTTGTGAACAGCGAAATGCAACTAACTAAACTAAATTTATATTGACTGTCCTTGATTAAGTTGTATCTACTGACATTTTCATTTGTTTAAGTATCCTCTCTTCCATTCTTCATTAAATTGTTATCAAATTTTATGTAGTCTATGCCCTATTGATTATATCCGAACGTCTTTCTGTCTTAAAATTAAAGTGGAATTTATCACCTTTATTTTTGATGTGAAAAGCTTACGTACGTATTCTATAAAACTACAGTATAAATATGACCCAAATAAAAAATACTTTCATATTTCTGTTTTAAAGTAGTATATGGCGCACCTTACTAACAGATTTATAATGGCTCAAATATGTTACGGGCATAGTATTTGATTTGTAAACTATTGTGATTGATTATTAAAGACACTTGTTTTGCATATAATCAATGTCTGCACATACTGAATCTGCAATGTGTTCGAAAGCCACGCTTGTTTAGTAGATAACAGTGTTTTCTTTAAGAACATAACGCGTAACATACAAAAGCAATGGCGAAATTATTTTTTATGCCAATAATCCGACTTCAATGATCAAATCTAACTCGAAATACGTACTATCTCCACATAATTGTTCGAGCTACTCAAAAGGGTACGTACTCATTTAGATGAGTCAAATCGTCTGGATGCTTTAAGTTGACTGAAAAGTTCCTGGTAAGTGATTCATGTTCGCTCCGATCAGTGCAGCTATGAGAAAATTGTTATCTATTACTTGCTTTCAGCTGAAACAGTAATTTTCCATAAATTCTCTTAAGGTTCCATAAGTTCGTGTAGACAAACCTAAAGAACTTGAAAAAGTAAAACACAATACTTTTATAGGCGGAGGATAAACACATTCTGCTGTTTTACTCCATTAATATGTAACATAAAGTACTTTTCTCGTCAGCACTTACAGTTTCCAGACTATCCTTGTTAAATACTGTGAAAAATGTCGAAAATTCTATGATAAACCCACTACTGAACCCATTCACTTTGAGGTGTAAGTAGTTCTTCTAATGTTTTGTCACTGACTTTAATTCAGAGTAACCCTTCATACGTATACTAACAGATTCCATCAATCTAACTGGACTACCTTTGAAAGAAGAACTAACCAAAAATCGACTTTTCGTCATAAACACCCATTTTATCATCTATGATTTCACTACTTGAGATTTAAATCATTCTTCGTTTTTGATGACAACCAAAATAGTCTACCGAGGTTCCGGAACATCCATTTTATCATCTAATGTACAGTGTTATGAACGATAAAGGGATATGACAATTAGCATATTCTAGAGACTCATATCTATTTGATTCACTACTTAACGAAAACACTTCAAATGTTATGCATTTGTAGGGGCTGGTACTATGTCAAACCACATGGGTTATTCTAGCCTCTGGACAGACTGATCTATTCATTCTCCTCAAACCACATTTTTACTTTGTCACTTGTTCTCTTATTAATCCTGACTGTTTTTGTATGATCAACTACGGAAGAAATTAGAATGGCCGTCAGACAAATCAAGAACGGGAAAGCAGCGGGACTGGACAACATACCAGCTGAAGCACTGAAGTCAGACATCAAAGTAACTACAAACATGCTTTACCTTCTATTCGAAAAGATTTGGGAGGAGGACCAAGTGCCGATGGACTGGAAAGAAGGACACCTCGTCAAGATTCCAAAGAAAGGAGATCTGAGCAAATGTGAAAACTACAGAGGCATTACACTGCTGTCAATACCAGGGAAAGTCTTCAACAGAGTGTTGCTGAACCGGATGAAGGATGCAGTAGACGCCCAACTTCGAGATCAACAAGCTGGATTCCGTAAGGATCGGTCGTGCGCAGATCAAATTGCAACACTACGGATCATCGTCGAACAATCAGTTGAGTGGAACTCATCACTATACATCAACTTCATTGATTATGAAAAGGCATTCGACAGTGTAGATAGGAGGACATTATGGAAACTTCTTCGACACAACGGAGTTCCTGAGATTGTCAATATTATCCGGAACTCATACGACGGACTACAATGCAAAGTCGTGCATGGAGGACAGCTGACAGATGCATTCCAAGTAAGGACCGAAGTAAGACAAGGCTGTCTACTCTCTCCCTTCCTCTTTCTTCTGGTGGTCGACTGGATTATGAAGACCTCAACATCTGAAGGAAAACACGGAATACAATGGACAGCTCAGAACCAATTAGACGATTTGGACTTCGCAGATGACCTAGCCCTCCTATCACGTACACACGAACAGATGCAGATGAAGACAGCCAGTGTAGCAGCAGTCTCTGCATCAGTAGGCCTCAGCATACACAAAGGGAAAACTAAGGTCCTCAAATTCAAAGCGGAGAACAGCAATCCAATCACACTTGATGGCGAAACTCTGGAAGATGTAGAGTCCTTCACATACCTGGGAAGCATCATCGATGAACAAGGAGGATCCGATGCAGACGTAAAGGCGAGGATCGGCAAAGCAAGGGTCGCATTCCTACAATTGAAGAACATATGGAACTCAAAACAACTTTCAACCAATATCAAAGTGAGAATCTTCAATACGAACGTCAAGGCAGTTCTGCTGTATGGAGCTGGAACTTGGAGAACTACAACAACCACAATCAAGAAAGTACAAGTATTTATAAATAGCTGTCTACGCAAGATACTCAACATCCATTGGCCGGATACCATCAGCAATAGCCTTCTGTGGGAGAGAACAAACCAACTTCCAGCTGAAGAAGAAATTAGGAAAAGACGATGGAAATGGATAGGACATACATTACGCAAATCGTCAAACTGCATCACGAGGCAAGCCCTAACTTGGAATTCTGAAGGGAAGCGAAAAAGAGGAAGGCCAAAGAACACATTGCGTCGGATAATAGAAGCAGATATGAAAAGGATGAATAGGAACTGGACGGAGCTAGAAAGGATTGCCCAGGACAGGGTTGGATGGAGAATGCTGGTGAGCGGCCTATGCTCCTTCACGAGGAGTAACAGGCGTAAGTAAGTAAGTAATGTGTTAATTACTTACCCTATTCATTTGTCCGTAATTTATTTTTGCTTGACTGTAAATATCGAGTCATGCTTGATTAAGTTAAGTTGGTTCACCCTCCTCCATTGCGCTGCTACGTTTCATTTCGTCTTGCTTCGCTTCCTTCACTCTGTTTCTCTGATTGTCTATTCAGATCAACGATTGTTTGAAATATATGTATGCAAAATCCACTCTCATACTTGACTTATTCAATCCCTTATTCTCTAACGCAAATTAAGTTGATAATTATATACGAGGGTAGTTAGCATGTATATTTGGATGACAATCATCATACGATATAACTGAAGTCCGATATCGGGCCAGTAAAGATTATAATTAATTCAATTGACGTTATCAAAAAACCCTACTATAAACGAACATTGATTGGCTGTATTTGAATCCATTTTTAATATGTTTGTTATTAGATTTGAAACTGACGTATGTAATTTATTCAGTAGTGGTACTAATAAGTCTCACTGTTAACAATATTTGGGGATAGTCTATTGGTTTCTAACTTGGATTTTATCAACTACATGAATATTTTCGATAATGATAACTGTATTTTAAGGAGCTTTCTTCATATCTATAATTTGACATTAAATTGAAGAATGACTCTGAAAGAATTAGGTCCCACAGTTTACAACAGATTAGATCTAAAGACAAAAAATAGTGTAAAATGCAGCACAAATGTTTATCAGTCTAAGTTAATACCATTTTGTAATACGCTAACAGGGGCAGACAAAGGGATCGTAAACGTTTAGTCATGAGTTAATGTGACAGACTAATAAGAACTGTTGTGTGATTTTGGGGTGCTTAACTGTAACTTCAACTCTGCCTGTAGCTCTTGTAAATTTACTGCCAGCCCCAAACCCGGGTAAAGGAGGAGGGTTGGGCATGGGGTTAGCGACCCCATCCCGTAGAAAACTAACTCGCTAAAAAACGCTAACCACCATCAAGAAGGTACAAGTATTTATAAATAGCTGTCTACGCAGGATGCTCAACATCCATTAGCCGGATACCATCAGCAACATCCTTCTGTGAGAGAAGATAAATCAGCTTCCAGCTGAAGAGGACATACATTACGCAAATCATCAAACTGCATCACGAGGCAAGCCCTAACTTAGAGTCCTGAAGGGAAGCTGAAAAGAGGAAGGCCAAAGAACACATTACGTCCGGAAATAGAAGCAGACATGAAAAAGACGAATAACAACTAGAAAGGATTGCCCAGGACAGGGTTGGATGGCGAATGTTAGTGAGCGGCCTATGCTCCTTCACGAGGAGTAACAGGCGTAAGTAAGTAATTGTAACTTCGTTGAGCATATTGTATGCATGGATGTTCATTTTCATACAGTGCTAATTACCATTTCTATATTTATTAACAGCTAATAGAGCGAAGACATTTTTTCATGGCTCTACGCTATATATATTTACGATTTACAATGAATTAGTGATATTCACTAGGTGTTTGTGTAGCGTAATAGTGGTTATAAAATAATGTTTTCATATGTGTAGACTTGTCAATTATTTACCGTTAACTTGGAGCACTTTTTAGTTGTGCTCGACTTATGTATATCCGTTATCTATACTTTAATTGATTACCTGTAATTCACACACTAATGACCTTATGTAGTGACTAAGTTACCCACTGTCCACTGATTTGACTTATACAGCTTGCCCTATTTACATTAATTCAATATCTATCATCCTTCGCCCAGTTTGCCTACTCATATAAATGCCTAAAATATGCATGTCCTAAATACATACCGTATCCAGTTATTTCTACGCGATTAATTGACAGAGGATATACAAAGTTAAGGATGAATGTATTTAGTGAACATCGTCATTGATTGATCATTTAGTCAACAATAGAGACGCAGTGATAAACCCGATTTCAGACGAAATATGAACTCGAAAAAAACAGATGCAGATGACATACTCATCGAATTCGATGCAGACAAAGAATTCGATTCAGCACACATAAATACACTCAAGTCGAACTGTTCAAACTACGTGCCGGTTACTTCTATGCGTTAATTTTGTAAATCATTCATATTATCGTTGTATTATCCGCAAAAGTTGTAGATTTATTATAAGAATACAACAATCAAAGTACTAACTCTTCGGATCATTATATTTATTTAATATTATATATTTATTCACTCATATTAGTCATTCATCCACTATATCGTTATTGGCGTCACGACCTTCACAAATCACTAGACCATTTCTTTTTAGTGCACAATCCCGCTTCTTTTCTCGTGAGTTCGTCCCACTTCTTGTCACGTAATATCTGTCATATTATACACACACTTTCTTCTCCTTTCGATTTCATCTCTTAGTAATATGTCAGTGAATGTTTTTGATAAGTCAAGTCTTCATATTGTTCTGAATCGTCCATTGCAGCAATTACTGTGAGATAG